GAAGAAGCTGAAGAAGAAGAAGAAGAAGAAGAAGAAAATGAAGCAGAAGAAGAAGACAGAAGACAGAAGACAGAAGAAGAAGAAGAAGAAGAAGAAGCTGAAGAAGAAGAAGAAGAAGAAGAAGAAGAAGGAGAAGCTGAAGAAGAAGAAGAAGAAGAAGAAGAAGAAGAAGAAGAAGAAGAAGAAGAAAAAGAAGAAGCTACACGAAAAAAGAAAAGCAGATAATGTGAAGGGAAGAAGAATTTGAAGAAGAAAAGTGGAGAAAAAGAAAAAAAAAGTTTGGAAAGAAATAACCAGAAGTGGATACAGGAATAAAAAACAAACTTGAGAGTTTGTCGGTGGAAAAGAAGTTAAAATGGAAAATGACAAGAATGAAGACAAACGATCCCCAGAGAGAAAAGATGACATAAAAATAAACCTAGAGAGGATTAATAGGTAGAAGGGATAGAGAGAGATACAAAGACACATGCGGAGAGGGAAGAAGAGAGAGACAGAGGGGAGAGAGATAGGATAGAGAGAGAGAGAGAGAGAGAGAAAGAAGTGAGAGAGAGAGAGAGGGAGAGAGAGAGAGTCAGATTTGGAAAAGAAGAGAGAGGAGCGGTCTAAAGTTTTGGTGAAGAATTTGAGCTAATCGTCCACCCAAACTTAAAACTCTTCACAATCGCCCCCCCCCCCGCGCCGTCGCTGCCGCCGGTGTGCACTCTTCATGGTTCACTTGTGTCGGGAATTGGTCGGCTTTTCTTAATTTCTTTTGACGTCCCTCTGCCTTTTGGCACCACTCTGTCCAGACTCGAACGGTGTGGAAGCCGTCGGAAAAAGAGACATGCCTTTCCACGAAAAGTGGTTTATCGAAATTGAAATAACAATCCTTCATTTTTTTTTCCTTTGGCGGGATCGTAAGGATTACAGGTTTTGATTTCTGAAGAGTTTGAATAAACATTAAATAATTTAGAGGGGAAAAAGAAATAGCTGAAAAGGGAATATGGAGAAAGAGAGATAGCTAGAAAGAAAGTCTTAAAGTGAGGAGGTCGGTATTGTTGTGAGAAAGAAAAACGGAAAGAAAGGTGTGAGGAAAGAGGAAAAGAAAAAGAGGAGATAAAAAAAATGGAATAAAATTGGGTTGCTATTGTTAAGAGAAGAAGAGAAGGAGAAAAGAAATAAATAAAAGAGAGCGGTGAGCGGCATCGTGGATTGAAGGGGAGATATTAAGGAAGAGAAAAGGAGAGGGAGAAAGAAAGAGGTAAAAAGAACAAAGGAGAATTAAGAGAGGGTTGATGCTGTTATCAAGGAAAGTGTGAGAGAGAAAGGAAGACACATTGAGAGGGGGTTGGTATTGTCATGGAGTAAAGCGAGAAAGTGAGAGAAAGGGAAAGTGGAACGTAGAGAGGAAGATAGAAAGGAAGACACATTGAGAGGGGGTTGGTATTGTCATGAAGTAAAGCGAGAAAGTGAGAGAAAGGGAAAGTGGGGCGTAGAGAGGAAGATAGAAAGGAAGACACATTGAGAGGGGGTTGGTACTGTCATTAAGTAAAGCGAGAAAGTGAGAGAACGGGAAAGTGGAACGTAGAGAGGAAGATAGAAAGGAAGATACATTGAGAGGGGGTTGGTATTGTCATGGAGTAAAGCGAGAAAGTGAGAGAAAGGGAAAGTGGAACGTAGAGAGGAAGATAGAAAGGAAGACACATTGAGAGGGGGTTGGTATTGTCATGAAGTAAAGCGAGAAAGTGAGGGAAAGGGAAAATGGAACGGAGAGAGGAAGATAGAAAGGAAGACACAATAAGAGAGGGCTGGTTTTGTTATGAAGCTGTGTGAGGAAGTGAGAGTGGAAGAATGAAATGGAAAAAGAAAGATGAAAATGAAGCCATTGTGAGAGAGGGTTGGTTTTGTTATGCGGCAAAGTCAAAGAGGGGGGAATAGTATAATGAAAGATGGTAAGACGAGAAAGATAAAAGGAAAGTTAGGTCCTTATTTTTGTTAACAAGAAGAAGGCAAGATGGAGGATAGCAGGGGGAGATGCGGAAGCGATAGAAAAGTGAGAAACTGTATTAAAGAAAGGTATTTATAACCATCTTCACTCAGTTACAAGATACCGTTCAAAATTTTCTTTTACTGCCCCCACCGCCCGCTACGATGACGGAAGACGAGTGGGGGTGCATAGAAATATATAAGCAAAAGAAATAGACAAAGAGAGGGAAGAGAAGACAGAAGAAGAGTGAAAAAGAGGAGGAGAAGAAGAGAGAGTGGAGGAGCGGTGGAAAGAGAATGATGAGAAAAGAGAAAGAAAGAAAGAAAGAAAGAAGGAGGAGAGAGAATGGAAGAAAGAGAAAAAGAGAAAGTAGAAAAGAGAGAGGGAAAAAGAGAGGAAAGGGAAGAGGGAGAGAGAGAGAGAAAAATAGAGAAAAGGAGAGAGAATACTAGATACTGAAAAAGGGGACATAGCTCAATGGAGAAAGACGTTGGTTAGATACTTTGTCTAGGCCTAAAGTGTTCTGAGTTCAATACCAGGCCACAGCAGTAGTGAACCAAAACTTGCAGAATTGGGTTAAAGGGAAATAACTCAGACACCCGGAAGAGGCATGGCACGTGAAATTAGAACAATATAACCCGGTGGACAAAATAAAGTGTTCGGTTCGAAATTCCAATCACCTGAAGAAGGCTGGAATGTACAACGGCTGAAATGTTGTGAATATGGCAATGAAGATGAGGATAATTGTCTGAATAATGTAAATAATGCAAGAAAAAGAGAGATGGGAGGGAATGGAAAGGAAAGAGAGAGAGAGAGAGAGAGAGAGAGGGTGAGAGTAGGGACAGAAGAGAAGGTAGATGCTGTTGATGATTTGGTTTAAACAGATGATAAAAGGGAAGGGCTTCTGATTTGTGGCTGAGAAAGTTCATTTTGTCAAAATAAAAGCACCTAAATAAATAAAGTTAAAAATAAATAAAGATATAATTGTGAAAAAGGAAGAGGCAAAGAAAAAAAAGATGGAGAAGTGAGATGGAAAAAAGAGATTGATAAAGAGAGAAGGAGACAAAAAGAGAGATTAAAGACATTTGTGTAGGTGAAGGAATAAGAAAGAGAGCGAGAGAGTGAGAGAGAGAGAGGGATATTAGTATAAGGGAACAGAATGAGACTATAGAAAGAAATTTGTGTAAAGAGAGGAGAAAAGCGAGAGAAGAATGATATTTATATAGAGAGTATGGAAGAGAAAGTGAAGAAAGATATAGTATAGAAAATAGAAAGAGAGGGAGAGAGAGAGAAGAATGATATTAGTATTGAAAGCGGGGGAGGGAAAAACAGAAAAGAAAGTTATTAATATGGGGGAAAGAAAAGGAAAGAAAAGAAAGATATTAAAAGAGAAAGAAAGTAAGAGAAGAATGATATTAGTATAGAGAGGGGAAGAAAAGAGAGTGAGAAAAGCAAGATGTTATATAGAAAGGAAGAAAAGTGAATGAGAGTAAAAAAGATGTTAGTATGGAGAGGGGAAGAAAAGAGGGTGAGAGAAGAAATATATTAGTATAGAGAGAGGGGAAATGAAAGAGAATAAAGTAAGCTAAATATGTAAAAGCATAGATGATTAGAATTATTTTGTAATGAACCTTTCTCCCCCCCTCCTCCCCTCCAAAATTATAGAGCATAAGGAATATTCACTATGTCCCTTCAAGACGTAAGCGACCCTGGCTCTCTACAATATTTTATCATTTATTGCCCAGAAAATCCCTTATTTGTCCTCCCTCTGAACCAATTCGCGTAAGCTCATTAGATAGGTTAATCGCTGCGTTCCTGTGAGTGTTAAGTTTTCCAATCCCTCTTTCTTCATAATGTATTCCAGAATTTTCAGGTTTCTTTTTTTTTAAGCGAGAAAAAAGGACTATCAACTGGAAGAGGACAAAAAGTTTGGTCACAAGAAAAAAACCCTGAGATCCGAGTTACGAATTGGAGATGTCAACATCAAGCAAGTAAAAAAGTTAAAATATCTGGGAAGACGAAAAATTCGACATCGAAATACGAATAGGCGTTGAATTTGCGAAAGATGCCCTTCAAAAGCTAAGCAAGGTACTGAGAAACAGGAAATTATCGTAAAAAACAAAGAAAAGAGCATCGGATTTCTATTTGATATTCATCCTCTTTTATGGCAGGGAATGCTGGACAATCTCTCCACAGATGAAGATTAGTGTTAGCAGAAAATGTAGTTCTACAGAAGGATACTGAGAATTCCATGAATGGCGTGAGTTAGCAGCGAGGAAATCTTAAAGAAAATGGCAACGAAAAGAACACTGATAACCATATTCAGGAAAAGCCAGCGGAAATTCCTTGAACCCATAATGAGGAAGGAGGGTTTGGAAAACTTATCCTTGACAGGTTATATTGAGGGCAACAGAGATAGAAGAAGACAGCGAGCCATCTACGTAACGAGCTTGTGCGAATGAATAGCAAAATGGATGGGGGGAGAGGGTTAGCAAAGTGCCACAAGTGATAGGGAGTTGTAGAATGCCATGATCGATGCGTATCTTAACGTAAACAAATGACATCATATCTTATGAAATGGAGTAAGTATAAATATTTAAAATAATTCCGGATTTAGTTCATTTCACAATATATATATATTAGCAACAGCATATAAAAATACAGCCGGTTTTATTAAAAACAAATTCCATATTATTTAAATGTAAAGATTTCAGGCATAATCTAAAATTTATAATAACCGCGTCTGAATATCATTTTACTATATATATATATATATATATATATATATATATATATATATATGTTTATATGATTTATTTGTGCTGATTGGAGAGTAATTATGAGAGAGAGAGAGAGTGGTTAGATATACGTTCCCTCGATTATTGAGCATACTAGGAACAAAGGCTTGTTAAAATTATCTGTTGACTGAACAGAATGTAGCAATGTAAATTTCATATTTTTCTCTGGAGAGTTAAACCGAAACACAAGCGACTTCAGGCAAAATACGAACACATCTCCCGTCGGATCGGTTTTGATGTCGTTTTCCATAACAATACACACGGTTTCTTTCTTCCTTTCTTTCTTTCTTTCTTTCTTTCTTTCTTCTTCTTTCTTTCTTCATTTCTTTCTTTCTTTATTTCATTTTAACTTTCTTACTACATCATTTCTTTTCTTTTTACATCGTCTTTTTCTTTTCTTTTCTTGCTTTCTTTCTTTCTTCTTCTTTCTTTCATTTTTACTTTCTTACTTCTACATCATTTCATTCTTTTGCATCGTTTTTTCTTTCTTTCTTTCTTTCTTTCTTTCTTTTTCTTTTTTCTTTCTTCCTTTCTTTCATTTTACTTTCTTTCATTTTACTTTCTTTTACTTCTTTTCTTTCTTTCTTTTTCTTTTTTCTTTCTTTCTTTCTTTCTTTCTTTCTTTCATTTACTTTCTTACTTACATCCATTTCTTTCTTTCTTTCTTTTCTTTCTTTCTTTCTTTTCTTTCTTTCTTTCTTTCATTTTACTTTCTTCTTCTACATCATTTTTTCTTTTACATCGTCTTTTCTTTCTTTTTTTTCTTTTTTCTTTCTTTCTTTCTTTCTTTTTACTTTCTTCTACATCATTTCTTTCTTTTTATCTTTCTTTTTCTTTCTTCTTTCTTTTCATTTTCTCCTTTTCTTTCTTTTTTCTTTCTTTTTTCTTTCTTTTCTTTCTTTAATTTCTTTCTTTTATTTTCGTCTTTTCTTTTCTTTCTTTCTTTCTTTCTTTCTTTCTTTTTTTTTCATTTTTACTTTCTTTTCTACATCATTTCTTTCTCTCTTTCTTTTCTTTCTTTTTTTCTTTCTTTCTTTCATTTCTTTTCTTTTCTTTCATTTTTCTTTCTTAATTCTCTTTCATTTCTTTCTTTTCTTTCTTTCTTTCTTTCTTTTTTCTTCCTTTCTTTCATTTTTTACTTTCTTCTACATCATTTCTTTCTTTTACATCGTCTTTTTTTTCTTTCTTTCTTTCTTTCTTTCTTTCTTTCTTTCATTTTTCTCTTTCTTCTACATTTTTCTTTCTTTTACATCGTCTTTTTCTTTCTTTTTTTTCTTTATTTTCTTTCTTTCTTTCTTTCTTTTTTCATTTTCTTACTTATTTCATCATTTCTTTCTTTTACATCGTTTTCTTTCTTTCTTTCTTTCTTGCTTTCTTTCTTTCTTTCTTTCTTTTTTTTACTTTTTTACTTCTACATCATTTCTTTCTTTTACATATATCTTTCTTTTTCTTTCTTTCTTTTCTTTCTTTCTTTTTTCATTTTTTTTACATTTCTTATTTCTTTCATTTCTTTCTTTTTTCTATCAATTTTTCTTTCTTTCTTTTCTTTCTTTCTTTCTTTCTTTCTTTCCTTTCTTTTTTTACTTTCTTACTTTCATCATTTTTTCTTTTATCTCGTCTTCTTTTTCTTTCTTTTCTTTCTTTCTTTCTTTTATTTTTTCTTTCATTTTTTCTTTTCTTACTTTTCTACATCATTTCTTTTTCTTTTACTTTCGTCTTTTCTTTCTTTTTTTTTCTTTCTTTCTTTCTTTCTTTTATTTCTTTTCTTTCTTTCTTTCTTCCTTTATTTCATCGTTTTCTTAATTCTACATCATTTTCTTTCTTTTACATCGTCTTTTCTTTCTTTTTTCTTGCTTTCTTTTCTTTTCTTTTTTTCTTTTCTTTCTTTCTTTTTTCTTTCTTTTCTTTTCTTTTTTCTTTCTTTTTCTTTCTTTTTTCATTTTTTTCTTTTTTTTTTCTTTTCTTTTTCTTTCTTTCTTTCTTTCTTTCTTTCTTTCTTTTTACTTTTACTTTCTTTCATTTTTTTTTTCTTTTTACATTTCTTTCTTTCTTTTCTTTCTTTCTTTCTTTCTTTTCTTTTTCTTTCTTACTTCTACATTTTTTCTTTCTTTTACATTTCTTTTCTTTTTCTTTCTTTCTTTCTTTCTTTCTTTCTTTTTTTTCTTTTTCTTTCTTTCATTTTTCTTTCTTTTTTATCATTTCTTTCTTTTTTTTCTTTTTTCTTTCTTTCTTTTTCATTTTACTTTTTTTCTTTTTTCATTTCTTTTACATCATCTTTCTTTTCTTTCTTTCATTTCTTTCTTTTTCTTTTCATCTTTCTTTCATTTTACTTTCTTTCTTCATCATTTCTTTCTTTTACATTCTTTTCTTTCTTTCTTTCTTTCTTTCTTTCTTTCTTTCTTTCTTTTTTCATCATCTTTCTTTCTTTCTTTCTTTCTTTTTTTCTTTTTCTTTCTTTTTTTCTTTGCTAATTCGACCATCATTTCTTTCTTTTCATCGTCTTTTCTTTCTTTCTTTCTTTCTTTCTTTCTTTCTTCCTTTCTTTTCATTTTTACTTTTTTTAATTCTACATCATTTCTTTCTTTTACATCGTCTTTTTCTTTCTTTCTTTATATTTTCTTTCTTTCTTTCTTTCATTTTCTTTTTTCTTTCATCATTTCTTCTTTTTAATCTTTTCTTTTTTCTTTCTTTCTTTTCTTTCTTTCTTTTCTTTCTTTCTTTCTTTCTTTCTTTTTTCATTCTTTCTTAATTCTACATCATTTCTTTCATTTTCATTTTTTTCTTTCTTTTCTTTCTTTCTTCCTTTTTTCATTTTTACTTTCTTCTTACATCATTTCTTTTTTTAATTTCTTTTTTCTTTCTTTCTTTCTTTTCTTTCTTTCTTTCTTTTTCCTTTCTTTCATTTTCTTTCCATTATTTTTTCTACATTTTCTTTCTTTTACATGTTTTTTCTTTCTTTCTTTCTTTCTTTTTTTTTTCTTTTTTTCTTTCTTTCTTATTTTTCTTTTATTTCTTTCTTTTAAATCTTTTTTTCTTTTTTTCTTTCTTTTACATTTTTCTTTTTTTCTTTCTTTCTTTCTTTCTTTTTTCTTTCTTTCTTTCTTTCTTTCATTTTTATTTTTTTAATTTTACATCATTCTTTTCTTTTACATCTTTTCTTTCTTTCTTTCTTTCTTTCTTTCTTTCTTTCTTTTCTTTCATTTTTTACTTTCTTACTTCTACATCATTTCTTTCTTTTACATCTTTTCTTTTTTTCTTTCTTTCTTGCTTTCTTCCTTTCTTTCATTTTCTTTCTTTCTTTTTCTTTTTTACTTTTTTTTTACTTTCTACGTTTTTTCATTTCTTTCTTTTATTTCGTCTTTTTTTCTTTTTTACATCGTCTTTTCTTTCTTTCTTTTCTTTTTTCTTTCTTTCTTTCTTTCATTTTTCTTTTTACAATTTCTTTTTTTTTCTTCTTTTCTTTCTTTTCTTTCTTTCTTTCTTTCTTTCTTTTCTTTTTTCTTTTTTCTTCTCTTTCATTCATTTTCTTTTTACATCATCTTTTTTTTTCTTTTCTTTTCGTTTTTTTCTTTCCTTTCTTTCATTTTCTTTCTTGTTTTCAATTTTTCTTTTTTTTCATCTTTTTTCTTTTCTTTCTTTTTTCTTTCTTTCTCTTTCTTTCTTTCTTTCTTTCTTTCTTTCTTTCTTTCTTTTCTTCCTTTCTTTCATTTTTACTTTCTTAATTCTACATAATTTCTTTCTTTTACATCGTTTTTCTTTTCTTTCTTTTCTTTCTTTCTTTCTTTCTTTTTTTCATTTTACTTTCTTACTTCTACATCATTTCTTTCTTTAATCGTCTTTTCTTTTCTTTTTCTTTCTTTCTTTCTTTCTTTCTTTCTTTCTTTCATTTTTTACTTTCTTACTTCTACATCATTTCTTTCTTTTTTCATCATTTCTTTCTTTCTTCTTTTTTTTTCTTTCTTTTCTTTCTTTCTTTTTTCATTTTTACTTTCTTACTTCTACATCATTTCTTTCTTTTACATCGTCTTTTTCTTTTTTCTTTTTTTTCTTTCTTTCATTTTCTTTTTCTTTCTTTTCTTTCTTTTTTCTTTCTTTCTTTCATTTTACTTTCTTTCTTTTTTACATCATTTCTTTTTTTTTTTTCTTTCTTTTCTTTCTTTCTTTCTTTCTTTCTTTCTTTCTTTCTTTCTTTCATTTTTACTTTCTTAATTCTACATCATTTCTTTCTTTTACATCGTCTTTTTTCTTTCTTTCTTTCTTTCTTTCTTTCTTTCTTTCCTTTCTTTCATTTTTACTTTCTTACTTCTACATCATTTCTTTCTTTTACATCGTCTTTTCTTTCTTTCTTTCTTTCTTTCTTTCTTTCTTTCTTTCTTTCCTTTCTTTCATTTTTACTTTCTTACTTCTACATCATTTCTTTCTTTTTTCTTTCTTTCTTTCTTTCTTTCTTTCTTTCTTTTTTCCTTTCTTTCTTTCTTTCTTTAATTTCTTTCTTTACTTTCTCATTTTCTTTCTTTTTCTTTCTTTTCTTTCTTTCTTTCTTTTCTTTCATTTTACTTTCCTTTTTTTCTCATTTCTTTCTTTTACATCGTCTTTTCTTTCTTTCTTTCTTTTTTTCTTTCTTTTCTTTTCTTTCTTTCTTTCATTTTTTTCTTTCTTTCTTTCTTGTTTTTCGTCTTTTCTTTTTTTTTTCTTTCATTTTACTTTCTTACTTCATCATTTCTTTCTTTTACATCGTCTTTCTTTTCTTTCTTTCTTTCTTTCTTTCTTCCTTTCTTTCATTTTACTTTTTTAATTTACATCATCTTTTTTTCTTCATCTTTTCTTTCTTTCTTTATTTTCTTTCTTTCTTTCTTTCTTTTCTTCCTTTCTTTTACTTTTTCTTTCTAAAATCAATTTTCTTTTTCTTTTCATCATTTTTTCTTTCTTTCTTTCTTTCTTTTTTTCTTTTCTTTCATTTTTCTTTCTTTCTTTCTTCTTTCTTTCATTTTTACACTTTCTTTCTTTCTTCATTTCTTTCTTTTACATCGTTTCTTTTTTCTTTCTTTCTTTCTTTCATTTTCTTTTTCTTCTACATCATTTCTTTCTTTTACTCTTTTCTTTCTTTCTTTCTTCTTTTCTTTCTTTTTTTTTTTTTCCAATTCTTCATTTTTCTTTCTTTTTTACATCGTTTCTTTCTTTTTTCTTTCTTTCTTTCTTTCTTTCTTTCTTTCTTTCATTTTCCTTTCTTACTTCTACATCATTTCTTTCTTTTTTCATTTTTCTTTCTTTTCTTTCTTTTTCTTTCTTTCTTTCTTTCTTTTTCTTCCTTTCTTTTTTCATTTTTTACTTTCTTACTTCTACATCATTTCTTTCTTTTACATCGTCTTTCTTTTCTTTTCTTTCTTTCTTTCTTTCTTTCATTTTACTTTCTTACTTCTACATCATTTCTTTCTTTTACATCTTTCTTTTCTTTTTTCTTTCTTTTCTTTTCTTTCATTTTTTTTTCTTTCTTTCTTTTCTTTCTTCCTTTCTTTCATTTTTACTTTCTTAATTTACTTCTTCATCATTTCTTTCTTTTACTTCTACATCGTCTTTTCTTTCTTTTTTTTCTTTCTTTCTTTTCTTTCTTCCTTTCTTTCATTTTACTTTCTTTCTTCTACATCATTTCTTTTTTTACTTTCGTCTTTTCTTTCATTTCTTTCTTCGTCTTTTCTTTCTTTCTTTCTTTTTCTTTCTTTTATTTTTACTTTCTTAATTCTACATCATTTCTTTCATTTTACATTTCTTTCTTTCTTTTTTCTTTCTTTCTTTCTTTCTTTCTTTCTTTCATTTTTCTTTCTTGCTTTCATTTCTTTCTTTTCATCTTTCTTTCTTTTTTCTTTCTTTCATTTCCTTTCTTACATCATTTCTTTCTTTTTATCATTTTTTTTTTCTTTCTTTCTTTCTTTCTTTCTTTCTTTCTTTCATTTTTCTTTCATTTTACTTTCTTACTTCTACATCATTTCTTTTTTACATCGTCTTTTCTTTCTTTCTTTCTTTCTTTCTTTCATTTGTTTTCATTTTCTTTTCTTTCTTTCTTCATCATTTCTTTCATTTTTCTTTCTTTTCTTTCTTTCTTTTCTTTCTTTCTTTCTTTCTTTCTTTGTTTTTTCTTTTCTTTCTTTCTTTCATTTTTCTTTCTTTTCTACATCATTTCTTTTCTTTCATTTCTTTCTTTCTTTCTTTTTTCTTTCTTTCTTTCTTTCTTTCTTTCATTTTACTTTCTTTTCTTTTTCATTTCTTTCTTTTACATTTCTTTCATTTTTTTCTTTTTTCTTTTTCTTTCTTTCTTTCTTTCTTTCTTTCTTTCTTTCTTCCTTTCTTTCATTTTTGCTTTCTTACTTCTACATCATTTCTTTCTTTTTCTTTCTTCTTTTCTTTCTTTTCTTTCTTTCTTTCTTTCTTTTTTTTCTTTCTTTCTTTGTTTTCTTTCTTATTTTATTTCTTTTAATTACATCATTCTTTTCTTTTTCTTTCGTCTTTTCTTTCTCTTTTTTCTTTTTTCTTTCTTTCTTTCTTTCTCTTTCTTTCTTTCTTTCCTTTCTTTCTTTTCATTTTTCTTTCCCTTTTTCATTTTCTTTCTTTTCTTTTTTCTTTTCTTTCTTTCTTTCTTTCTTTCTTTCTTTCTTTCTTTGTTTAATTTCATTTTCTTCTTACTTCTACATCTTTTCTTTCTTTTTACATCGTCTTTTCTTTCTTTCTTTCTTTCTTTCTTTTCATTTTCATTTTACTTTCTTACTTCTCATCATTTCTTTCTTTTACATCGTCTTTCTTTCTTTCTTTCTTTCTTTTCTTTCTTTTTCCTTTCTTTCATTTTACTTTCTTCTACATCATTTCTTTCTTTTCATCGTCTTTTTCTTTCTTTTTTTTTCTTTCTTTCTTGCTTTTCTTCATTCTTTCTTTCTTTTCATTTTCTTTCTTTCATTTTCTTTCTTTCATTTTTTTCTTTCTTTCTTTTCTACATCATTTCATTTTCTTTTTACTTTTCTTTTCTTTCTTTCTTTTCTTTCTTTTTTCTTTCTTTCTTTTCTTTCTTTTTTTTCTTTTTCTTTTTATTTCTTCTTCATTTCTTTCTTTTACATCGTCTTTTCTTTCTTTTCTTTCTTTTTCTTTCTTTCTTTCTTTCATTTTCTTTTTTTTTTCATTTCTTCCCTTTACATCATTTCTTTCTTTTTTTCTTTCTCTTTCTTTTCTTTCTTTTTTTTTTCTTCTTTTCTTTCTTTCTTTTTTCTTTTTCTTTCTTTCTTTCTTTCTTTCTTTCATTTTTTACTTTCTTACTTCTACATCATTTCTTTCTTTCATCATCTTTTCTTTTCTTTCTTTTCTTTTTTCTTTCTTTCTTTTTCTTCCTTTCTTTTTTTTTCCTTTTTTCTTTTCTTTCATTTTTTTCTTTTTACTCATCGTTTTCGTCTTTCTTTCTTTCTTTCTTTCTTTCATTTTCTTTCTTTTT